CAGGGCGGTGTGTGCCGCGGGATGGGTGGCGGCTACCGTCCGGACCCTTCCCCGGGCGTTGGGCGATCCCCGCGGGTCCACTCGCGACGGCATGGGAGCTCCGCACCCCACCGACTGCCCGAGAAGGGAGCGTCCCTTTCCCGAGGGCAACCCCGCACCCTTTCATAGCCGGGAGATATTCAAATGAGGTTGATTTCCCTCAGACACCATAAGCACGATCAGCCTACAGATGCTGCCCCCCCCTCCCCCGTAGCTCTTTCTGGTCCACAGGGCGCGAAGCCCCAGCCCTGATCATGCTGCAAGTGGGAAGGTGCTGCTGTCCGGCCCCGCAGCTGGTCACGGTCTGACCTCGAGCCTGCTTGGGGACCCCGGAGACCGGTCAGGCTGTGGGAGCACGGCGAGGCTCGGGCTCGCAGCTGAATGCAATGGTCATCATCACCATTAATTAAAAAAATTCCGTTCTCTGGCAGGTTCCCCCTGGAATGAGGAGCAGGTGTAAGAGCTTTGATGGGTAAATTATAGCACCGATAATACATCAGTCGTGGCAAAATAACGATAAAAGGCAGCGAGGGGTTTGCCCCTAACAGAACCCTCCTGGTCAGAGCCTGTTTGAGCAGCACTCCCGCAGCGGAGACGCCATGCGGGAATTCAGTGTTCATGTGGGAGTTTTGGGGCGGGGGGAACAGAACATTTTTGGCCTCTCGCGGAGACCGATGGATCCCGTCATGAGGTTACATGTGTTTTAAATCCTACTGCCCCGAGACAAAGGTGAGCGCTGGCAGTTTGATCCGTCCAAAGTTCAAAGTTCTGAAATCTCAGAGAGTTTCTATTGGAGGTGAAGGGAAGGAACACAAACACGGCGGCACGGCTCGGGCCGGGCGCTGAGCGGTGCGGGGCGAAACGCGGTGTTATGTACACTAATCTGCCCTTAACTGCGACTTTGTCACAATAGGCAGAATAATTAGCAGAAAATGACCAGGGAGAACAAAGGCAGGTTTTCTTCTTATCGCCTCCCATTTTCCACTCTTCCCTCATTTGTTTCTCCTCCTGTAATGATCCGCAAAGCGCAGAAAAAGCACATTCCTTTTTTTTTTTTTTTTTAATGAGCTTTTATTCTGTATTTGCTGGTGGATGAGTTTGCGTTAAGATAAAAAAAAATGACTCCTTTTCACAATGCCGCCCTCGACATTTAAAAAATCAAACTAATTGCGTTTTGATTTCAGCTGTTAGCCGTTATCCCGCATTTCCGAACCCGGCACCGCAGCGTGGGAGTGCGGCACCCACATTCCTCTCCGCTGCCACTCCGCGCCCCTTTGTGCGGTGATTTTCTCCCGGCCATTGTGTGCTGTGTATATTTTCCACTTGTCCCCCTGGAAACAAATACATATTAATTATCTATATGTTAATACATTCAATATACGCACCTATGAGCCTCCCGAGAGAACTTTTCATCTCATGTTTTATGAGGATAATTAACTTCTCTATGAATTAAGATGCTCACTTTGAATGCACACGAGAAACGTCAATTCCTTAAATGTCTGTTTAAAACCGTTTTTATCTTTTTTTGAGTGACCGAACACTTATAGGCACACCTATGTGTCCAGATCCCGCTTTGTCCCAGAGGAGAATTAATACTAGGTGCGCTACTACCGCAACCAAGAGTTTTAGCTACAGTATCTCTGTAAAATTAGAAGAAATCAAATTTCTTCTTAAAGCAGAGTTGGAGCTGCAGCGAAAGGATGCCTTTATTTCTGGTTTAGCCATCCAAATCTTTAGCATCAACTCCACCATTCAAACCAATATCTGAAGCCACGCCAAAGGCTGAAGTGTTTTCTTGCGCCATCCCTTTACGAGTCACTTTTATCGACGCGACTCAGTTTCAAAGGGAAAAACTGACCGGGAAATATTTTCCCTCATCTTTCAGTCCCGAAAATTTTAAATTAATTCCTTCCAATAAATACACACCCGCGGCCGATGTATGTGCCAGTATTGTCCATCCGGACCCCGACACTAGACCGAGACGTTCATGTGCCTTTTTTTCCCATCCCCGATTTGGGTGATGGAAGTGCTTTTATCCTACCGAGCCCCGTGGGGGGGAAGGGGGGGGAGTCGGGTCGGAGGCACCTGGACAGCGCCGCGGGGGCCTCGCAGTGCCCGGGGGAAGAGCGGAGCCGGGGGGGGGCAGCGCCGGCCCCATAGAACAACGGGGATCGCTGCCGGCCCCCACTCTGTGTGCGGCATTCAGTGCCCGCTCTCTGCATGGGTGTACAGCGATCCCCACCGCCCCGCATCGCTCCCCGCTCTGCTGCACTCCGTGAGCTTGTCTCTCTGCCTCGCACGTGGCAGAAGTAATCACCGTGAAGCAAAAGGCGAAAAGTCCCTGTGAGCGGCGCTGGCCGTGGAGGTTGCAGCTCGGCGGGTTCCGCTTTGCTATGCTCGTGGCCGAGCCCACCACTGGCCCGGGCACATCTCCGCACCTCCCTCCGCCTCCCTCCATCAGCGAACCGATCCGGCCGAAGGGAGATGCTCGCACGCTGATGGAGTGGGGGGCATTCGGAATTCGCCCTGTTTCTTATCGAACCCATTTACAGCTTACTTTCATACTGTTGCCGGGTGCTACTTGAGCGTGGGCTTAAAATAGGGCAGAAAGTACGGGGCTCCTCTTCCTTCTGTTGGATACCGAGCATTACACTGCATTCTGCAGTGCCCGCTGAGGCAAGGACCCTGATTTTTGCCCGGAGCCATATGCCTGCGGTGTCAGCGGGTCACTGCCCACCATTCGCCTGTAGCGAGAAAAGGAAAGAACAAGCTCTCGGCGGCGATGGGGCACACGCAGTCTCTGTGACGGGCTCTGCTCCTTATCTCTGAAAGGCTGGGAGCCGCGGCGCTCCGCTTAAGCCCTTTTACTACCCACGCCCCGAATATTTCCATTACACACGGTCTGTGCTCCTCAGCTGATATGCGAAACCCGTTGCCTTATCGCTGTCGGTCGATTGATATTTTCTGTGCACAAACCCAAGGCATTAAATCAATGTCTCCGCTTCGAAGCTGCATATTATCCATAGAGCAGCCTGTGGGAGACAAGCGAGGTCCTGCCGAGAACGGGCTCCATCCTGCCGCGGTGTCTCACCGAGCAGCTCTTGGCAGCAGCGGAATTGGTACTTTGAATATCATCCACCTGCCCGGATCCGGGGCCGCGCTGCCGGGGCTGTGGGGACGAGCCGGGCGGAGGGCTGAGCCGGGGCCCCAGCTCCGTAAGCCTACCCGTATCACAGAATCACAGAATGGCCAGGGTTGGAAGGGACCTCAAGGATCATGAATCTCCAACCTCCCTGCCACATGCGGGGCCACCAACCTCCCCATTTAATACTAGAATGTAGCAAAGCAGAAGGACTTTAAAATAATTTTTTCTCCTTTTTCGCGGAATAACAACGTTGGAGTAATTGGGTTGGCTTAGGAGATTTCTGTGACTCCTGCTCGTTTGCTTTTTTTTTTTTTTTTTTTTTTTTTTTTTTTTCTCCCCCTGGCTTGGGCCCCCCCCCCCCCCCATACATCACCTTCTAAATGTAGTTTGTTGCCGCTGTCCCTAACCCATCAGGAGGCAATTATGCGATAATTACGAGAATGACACAGAGCTTTCATCGGGCCGTCTGGCCCGAGGGGGCTGAGCGCAAGGAGATCTGCGGCGGTGCCTCTCGTGGGGGATCGGAGCCGCTGTTGGTATTCCCGCGGTCAGTCCGAGCCGACACAGCGAGGGGTGTCTCCCTCAGTTGGCTCCGTGCCTTCTTCCCGCCACCGGAATGTTAACAACAACAGCAAAAAAGGTATATATGTATATATACATAAATACGTATGATACCAACCCAGGCGCAGGCAGCCCCTGCCCATTGCGTGTGCGAGCTCTACAAAAGGATCTCGAAAATCCACCCGCACCGGCGCAAGCTGCGCGCCCCCCAAAGCCTCGCGCTCCCGAGGCCCGCACCGATCCCCGCACGGACGGTGCCTCTCCGCACCCGCTCCCACGGCCGCGTCCGCCCGCACCGCGCGTGGCTCCGCGCTCCGGGGCCCGCCGCAGAAATTTCGTAAGGAAACGGTGGCAGTCGTTCATTGTTAACATTTGATTTATTTAAAGTCCTTAACTGCAAATGATCAAAAAACCATACTTCACGCGTTAAATTCTCAGTTATCGTTTTAAATCAAAATATTTTTTTTCAATTACAATCACATTTATAAAATTAACAAAAAATTCTTAAATTCACGTGTAATTCTTTTTACTGTCATTTAAAGCAATTTCCAGCTGTAAAGAAAGAAAAAAAAAAATATAAACCATGCAATAAATTAAGGACATTGAGACAGCGAACAGGAATAATAATAAAACCCGTCTGGCTATGCTAACACCGTGTAAAACTGTGGAAAGTGCATTAACACTGGATGAAACAAGCTAATGATGGCGATAATTAAACGGCCACAAAAATGATGGGTGTGTAATGTATTAAACGAGGTGGGAAAGGGGAGAGGAAGGGCTCTCCTCTGTTCCTGGCGCTGGTGTGAGGGCCAGCGCCTCCCGGGAAGGGGATAACCTTGTTTTCAGTACATAGCTCCGCTGGTACGCGACGAAGAGACCTTAAATTAAATAAGCATGTCATCCACACGTCGGCGAGAGTGCCTGAGGAACGAGAACCTTCAGTAACAGATGGGAAAGAAAAAAATCCAACTGGCTGTGACCTCTTGTAACTTTATATTACATCCCAAGACAGGTAACACTTGGAAAAAAATATAGGAAGGTTTGGGGGGGGGGGGGGGGCGGGGGGTGTCTGTCCCGACCCTGGGCTGCAGCTGGGCCGGGTGCGGGGTGCGGCTGTCCGAGCCGGAGGTTTGTTTTGCAAGTATCAAAAGGATGATCCGAGAGAGCAAACAGTCCTCTTGTTGCTTAGAGATTCTCTTAGTGTGTTGCTACTTCACAGCAGTATTGTCCTTCAAAGCCTTCTTAATTAAAAAAAAAAAAAAAAAAAAAAAAAAAAAAAAGCCTTAAATCTCTACTCGCTTCTTCATCTCCGTATTGGTAAAGTATTGCCACATACCTTGTAAACTTACATGAGATTATAGAGCGGGGCAGGGGGCGGAAAGCACAACGAGTAGTTTACAAGCTCACCCATTTCTTTTCAGTGACACCCTGCGGGGTGCGGGGCATATGTACAGCGAGGGGGGATGCGGGACAGAGACAGCGCACGACCATCGGGAAGTAACAGTCCTGTGCACGGCGTGCGCCCCGATACAGCGAGCTACGAGGTGTTGAGCACGGGTCTGGAGTACACCCCCTGGTAGTAGGAGGGCTCCAGCGCCGAGGGCTCGATGCTGCCGCGGGCCGCCATGGAGCCGCCGCCCAGGGGCAGCCCGCCGGGGATGGCAGCCCCGTACGAGGAGTACTGCAGCGCCTGCTCGTAGGCTTTGAAGTCCAGCTTGTGCTGCTGCTCCGAGGAGGACATGAGGTTGTTGATAGAGAACGGATGGTTGAAAGAGTAGTGGGGGTCCCCTTTGAGGTGCAGCTGGGGTTCGTGGGCCAGGGAATGCGGGGGGTGCGGGACGGATGCCAGGGCAGGCACGGAGCCGAGCGAGGAGGCGGCGGCCGGGGCCGAGGGCTTCAGTTCGGCGCTCGGGCCGCTGTGGTCCATGGGCTGGGGGCTGGCGGCTGGGTTGGGGCCGGGCAGGGGGGCGGCGGCGTCGGGCTGCGCCGCTTTTCCGTGGGCGCGGGGCAGGGGAGAACCGGAGCCCGAGGCGGACGTCTGGTCCTTGCGGCCCTCCGACGGGGCCTTGCCGCCCGCCGGCTTCTCACACTTGAAGCGCTTCTGGCGGCGGAGGTAGCAGCCGTTCTCGAACATGTTGCCGGAGTCGGGGTGCAGGGTCCAGTAGGAGCCCTTGCCGGGCTTATCGGGGGAGCGAGCCACCTTGACGAAGCAGTCGTTGAATGAGAGCGAGTGGCGGATGCTGTTCTGCCAGCGCTGCTGGTTCTGTCTGTAGTAGGGGAAGAGGTCCATGATCCACTGGTAGATCTCGCTCAGCGTCAGCATCTTGCTGGGTGCCTGCTGGATGGCCATGGTGATGAGAGAGATGTACGAGTAGGGCGGCTTGGCGTGCGGGTAGCTCCGCTTGAAACTCTTGGCGTCCCGCGTGCGGCCGAGGTTGGACTGCGAGTAGGCCATAGGGCTGACGCAGGGGTTCATGCCGCCGTAGGGGCCCAGTCCGTTCATGGCAGCCGGCTGCCCCGACATGGCGCCCAGCCCTCCGGGGCTCAGCGCCGCGCCCATGGCCGCCACGCCGGCCGTCATCCCGTTCACCGCACCCGCAGAGCCCGCCGGCATGGCTGCCACCGCTCCGGGACTCAGCCCGGCTCCCAGCCCCGTGTTGGCGTAGGACATGTTGAAGGAGCCGGAGGTCATGTTGCCGCTGGTCGTCATGGTGTTCATGCTCATGTACGTGTTCATGGTGTTCATGGAGCCCAGCCCCGAGTTCATGTTGCTCACGGGGACCGAGGAATAGGCCTAGGGCAGCGAGACGAGAGAGGGTTAGCATGGAGCCCGGCACCGCGGAGCCTCCGAACCCGCCCAGGACGATCGCCGAGAGCCCGAATCCTCGTGACGGGAACGGAGAGAGACCGTTCTGTGCCGCCGAGCCCAGCCCCGGCACCGCGGGCCCTCAGCTTGGTCGCCCCGAGTGCTGCAGGGCTCTGCGGGCTCCGTGTCCCGTGTTTGAATCCGTCCGATTACTGCAATCTATGGGCGCACGCCGGTGTGCTAGGGAAAACTTTCCCGGAATAACCGCATGAAGGTCTCCCTCCGCGCTGATTTATATTTCTGTTCCTACAGATAGTGTCTTGTCACAAATAAAAATATTTGGGAAAAAAAAAAAAAAAAACATCAGCTCTGTCTGCACATAGTACCTGTGGAAAGCTGCCCCTGTTCGCATTTCCGAGTCGGGCTTAAAGTTCAAACCCACCGCCCCAGCCTTCGCGAAGCACGCCGAGCTCCGGCTCCCAAAGCACGGGATTCTCTGTAGCCCCCAACGTGGGGTATCGCAGCCCGATCCCTCCTCACCGCTCTCACAAAATGCAGAACCTGGAGCCCCCAGAATATGCGTTCCGGGTCCGCATCTGATTTCACGTGAGGGAGAAGGGCTCTGCGAAACGCGTTCCCGTTCACCTCGAACAAAGGCAATGCGGCCGAGGAAAGGTTGTTAGGCGCGGGTTAAGCGCTCTGTAACATTCCCCATTATTCCCTACATATTCCGCGAACTTCTCAATGCGGTTTGAATTTGGAGGATCTCAGTAATTATCCGAGAGGGCTCAACGCAGCGGGGCTCCCACCTCACACCCAAACAGCGATTCCAGTTCAGTAGCACAGGAGGAGAAAAGAGCGGGGCTAAAAAACAGCAAAAGGGCAGGTCGTGTAATTTAAGGTGCGTGGACAACGAGCGTGGCGAGGAAAAACGAGCGCGGTATTGACACCCCACGGGGATGCCCCCCTTTTCTCTGAGCTCTCCCCGCTGAGGGGGTAGCAGCGAGGTAACAGTGGCGTGGCAACGGGGTGGCCGTGGGGTGACACAGAGCTGTGCGGCCCTGCAGGCGTGGGGACGGCACCGTGTCCGGGTGCGCTGATGCAATGCCAGTGCGCACCTCGCGGCTCCCGCACTTCCTTAAAGCGGCTCCTGCCCGGGCACCGCTCCCGGTTCTTCCGCGGTGGTGCCACGCTGCTTTCCCTCGCGGACCCCCGCAGAGGCCAGGCTATACCGGGGCCTGGATCACGGCGCTCCCCGGCCCTCTCCTAACGGCCTTCGGGCCGCTCCTCTCACACCACGCCGGAGCACGGGGGGGGCCCGGAAGCAGCTGCCGGGTGCCGCGGGTCGGCGGCGGGCGGCCGGGCCGGGCCCCCTTCGGGTTCCCCGGCCGCTCTCCGCAGCGCCGCCCGCCGGTATCTGGGCAGCAGCGCCCACCGCGGGCGGGCTGTCTCGCAAAATCCGAACAAACGGCGATTTATTCTTTTTCTCTTCCTTTCTTTTCTCTCGGCTCTAACAGGTGAGGCCCCGGCGGCAGCCAGCAGCGTGGGGCCCCAGGGGAGGGGGGGGAGGCGTGGGGAGTGTGCTGCCCTCGGCCCGGCGCGCCCTGTGGCCGTGCCATATGCAGTGGGGAGTGGGACGGCAACGCAGCGGTCCCCTGCTCCGAACCAGGAGTTCTCTGGGGTGAGCTCAGCGCTGCCCCCCCGGTTCTCCTGCGGGCGGTGCGGAGTTTCTCGGGGCGGCTTGGCCGAGGAGAGACACGATGGCGCTGGCGGGAGCCGCAGTGCGAATCGATCCCCCCCTCTCACTGCCCCCCTCCGCACCCCGGCCCTCCCCGGTCCCCTCACCTCCCTCTCGGAGGTACAGCGGACCTGGGACTCGCTCACCTCCTGCGTGTCGGCGTAGTAGCTGTTCCAGTCGCTGGTCTCATGCCCTTCCATTTTCACAGTCCCTAACATTATGGAACCAACCTGCCCGGTGTAACCATCCAGCCCTCTTGCAAGCGAGCGACGGGTGGCAGGAAAAGAGCCCAGGAGGCCGACCTAGCAGGAAGCCAGCTCCCAGGAGGGGCGGGAGTGCCGAAATTGCCTCTATAATGAAGTCAAAAAGGAGGCAGGGAGTGGTGCGGGGCGAGACAGTCGAGAAAGTGAGGAAGTGCCGGCTGGGATGTGAGTGGAGTTGAGCTGATGTGGATCTTACGTCGCACAAAGTACCCTCCTCCTCCTCTCCCCATTTGTCCGCCTCACAAAGGCGTTCGCACCTACAAAGCCGGAGATGCACCTGCCAGCGAGGCAGCTCCCCTCGCCTGCGGCTCCCCTCGGGGCGGCACTTTATTTGCAAAGCGGCGTAATTGGTTTAAGCTTGCGGGGAAAGAAGGAGAGACGGAGGTGGGAGAGGGGAGGGAGGAAGTCCCCCCTCGTAGACGGACAGGACAAGCTCTAGGAAGGCTCACTGGAAATGAAATGAGGTAGATAAGGGAAGGGCAGTCCCCTCTGTTTGAATAGAATGCTAAAGGCCATCCAGCCCTAAAACTCCGAGATTAGGGGCCATATTTACTGAAGTCCAGTAGATGCTCCTCTAATAAAATGGCAGGGAAGTCCTCGCATGCTCCCCCTCTTTCTCCCGTATATGCAAGGGGGTTCGATCCGGGTCCCCGAGCCCTCAGCCCGCGGAGCCTTCCACCCGGGAGTGTGACGGTGACGGTGATGGTGATGGTGATGATACCTCTTTCTTGTTGTCTTACTTTTAGAAACTCTATGAGTCACCGCGCTGAGCGGTAACACTCTAGACACCCAATAAATGCGGACAGAGACTCGAATGCGGATCCACAGAGGTCAGCCTCCGCCTGACAAACACCAGGTGAGTCATGGAACCATTTTATTTCTTTTCTGGCGAAAACCTCCAGGCCAGAAGGCTGTTTGAGAGTCTTGGAGAGCCTTCTCTGGGGCCGGGCACCAGGAAGCACCATTGCCTTCTTCCCAGCTTCTCTTGTGGAAGAAGGAGAATCTGCATAGGCTGGAGGGCGAAAAGGGGCCACAGAGAGAAAGTAAATGGATATTGGACAAAGCTCTTTAAAGTATGGAACCTCAGTCTTCACAGACGGATCTAACACACTCCCATTCTGTCCCTGCCCTGCCCGGCTCTTCGAACTTACGCCAAGACCGCTGACTGTTCCTGGGTTTCTTGCTTTGCACTTTTTCGTTCCAGTCGACATTTATCATCTGATAGCGAAAAAAAAAAAAAAAAGAGTAAACAAACCCAGAAACAAAAATAAAACACGCCACACACACGCCAACGAAGCAAAACATAAAACCCCAAACTCAAGTAGCTGTTCGTGGAATGGCAATTTGAAGGGGAAATAAAGGTTGTTGGGATTTTGAAAACCTTAGGCGTACCATATGACACAAAATACAATGCCTGGATCCGATTTTTTTCCGGGCATGTTTATCGCCCAGCTCCTGGTGCTCCCACACCAGTGTGTACTCCAAGGCTCTGCGAGGACGTCACCGCCACAAAAACGTTCTTTAAAAGAAGTTTATCATACAGAGACGCGGGACCGAAATTCCAAGTTATAGGTTATCTCCTCCTCGAGAACAATGTTTTAACTTGTCCTCTGAGTTTTCTGCTCTCCCTTTCTTTGTTCTTTCCCTCCTGTCTCCCCTCTTCCGTGGCCCGCCCCCCGGGGGCGCGCCCCCCCTTTTTTTTTCTTTAAATCTGGGAACAGAATTAAGTCAAATCCCTGAAACAGACGCAAACCTGGAATAATCCAGCTAGAAAAAGGGATGAGAATGTGTTTTCAAGGAAACAAAATTAAAAAGATAAAAGCAGTGAGTTAAACTTCTCCTCTCAAGTGGTCAAACTGCACAAATGGAGATCGGATAAAAACCCAGAGGAAAATCTAACAGATACTCAAATTGCGGTCTTTATGTATGCACTCTCTCTCTTTCCCTAGTGGAAACAGTCTGAACACAGAGACCCTTCGGTACCGGCTCGCTCAGCCCGGTGCTCCGGCTCCGTTCAAAGCCTCCCAAACGGAGGGAGGGCTCCGGCAGCCCGCTGCCCGCCGCAGGGTGACCTCGGGGCGGTGCTGCCGCTTCCCAGCACGGCCCCGCGAGAGCAACGCCCGGCGGGACGCGGGCAGCCTGTTCAGGGCTCGCCGTGTGCCGGGAGGGCAGCAGGCACGGACCCCACGGGCGGCACGTAGCTCTACGCTGGGGCACACGCTGAGTCGCGCTGACAGTGCCGTGCTGAGCCGTGCCGAGCGGTGCGCGGAAGCCGGGGTTGTGCAAAGCCGCAGCGCCTCCTGTTGTCCGGCCGCGGCTTCCTGCTCCTAACGTTGCCCCTGAAGGTGAGACTCAGGCAGGCGGTCTGTTATCTTCTTAGAAGAGAGCGTTTCAGCTTATTGCACGGATGGATCAGTGCGCCTCGGGCACTGACAGCCGGTCCTGGAAATCCCCCTCCCAACCCCGGCGGCCGGAAGCCTCCCGTGTGTGCTGCAGCGGAGCGCGGCGGTGCGGTGCTTCCCGTCGGGCCGGGGCTCAGCGCCGTGAGGGATGCGCGGGGACACCGGCGCGACGGGACCGTATCCTTCCGCAGCCCCCGAGGGGAGGGGAGAGCAGGGCTCTGCGGGGATGGAGGACATAGAAAGACTTCTGCCATTCTAGCCGTTAGAACAGTAATCGCGGCCCCAGAGCCTTTCCCCGAATCTCGTTAGAGCAATGCCGTTTTGTCGGTTTCTCATCAAGCTGTACCTGCTACATTTTTTTTCGCCCGTGGGATGGCATCAGGGCCGGCACCGCGCGGGAGCTCCGCACAAACCGGGAGCCCCGGCCCCGCGCTGCTCGGGCACTGACCCACTCGTGGAATGGGAGATGGAATAGGCGACAGCGATCATTTTGACTTCAAGGGGCGGATGGGACAGCGCTACTTCAACCCGCTCCTGCGTAAGAGCTCCTTTTCCTCTGGAAGAGGCAGCTCTTAGTTCAACTTGTAGGGTCTTGTTTTATTATTTCCAGTGGACGGCAACCTCTCGGCAGCGTCCGTGCGGGGCAGATTTCAACCTCGGGAAGGAACAGCGAGACTGCATCAGAATGCCTTCCCTGTTCATCGCTGTCCGGCCGCCTTTCCATTTCCCTGGCTCTGACTCCTACCCACCCATCCCTCCCGGCAGTAGGAAATTCCCGTTCCACCCGTTTCCGATCTGGAATCCCCCCCCACGTAAAAGTGAACACAGGAATCGCGTGCGAGCCGCGCCGGTGCCCGCAGCCGGATGAAAGCCCCGGGACGCTGTCAGCGGCGGCGGCGGCCGGCGGCAGCCCCGCACCGAGGGACGCACCGTGCAGCCCCTGCCGGCCTTTGCCTCCCCTTCTTCGCCCTCCCTGAGCCGCGGGGCCACTCTTCGGCCACAGCAACGCCGGTACGGAGCTCCCACTCGTACCGGGGCGCCCGGGGTCTTATGCATGGAGCACGTTGCCTTCCACGAGGCCCCGAGGACGCTGCAGCAGCGACTTGACGCTGCTGGATTTTGATTTGTTTCATTTTATTTATCTTTGTTATCTATTATTTTATTACTCTGTTTCAATTTATTTAATTTCTTTTTATTTTTCTCTCTTTTTATTTTTCGTTACATTTCCTTAACATTCATTACGTTTCTTTTTTTCAGGCATCATTCAGCACACAGGTAGCGACTTGATACACTCCTGACACGGAAAAAAATACGTTGCCTACACCCGAAAGCCCTCATATATCACAGCCCAGTTAAAGGAGAAAGAAGCACAAATAACGAATTGAAAAGCTACATATAACCTACTGTCCAACGGGCACAGAAATCAGAGTAAGGAAGTCCCTGGGTTTGGTTTACTTTTTTCTTCAGTGCAACAATATAGTTCTTAAGCAGGTAAATCACACCCCGGTGTATTCAGTCACTTCATTTTTGTTAATAGGGCTGGCTGTGGGCTTGCAGAAGTTGAGCAAGCAGGATGCCCACCCTGCTGTGTGTTGTTGGCAGTCTGTTTTACTCTTCATAAAAATAAATGCATTTCACGCTTCTCACTTGAATCAAGAACAGCCATATTGTATGCATTTCAATTAGTGGGTGTATTATTTATGTTATATTTCCTGAAACACGAGTGGCAATGCTTCTGATGCTTATTTTAATCAGTGTGCCAATTCTGATGCAGCCGCTGTCCCTTTCTGAAAGTTTTATTTGCAAATTTATTAAAAACCATATTTTGTTTCTAAGTAACTGCAGTAATACAGCACAAAAGAAGCAGTATCAGAGGAGATGGGACTACACACAGATAAACAAATATACTTCAGTGGCACCCAGTTTGTAGAGTTTCACCTGCATAGAAAAATTAATTTTTTAAACAATTTTTTAAAAATAAAACATACACAGACTTCTGCAACACAAATATAAGGAATAAAGAAATCAAAGCCTGCACAGTTAATCTACATAAACCAGTATCAGAAACAAACCTTGGGAGGAGACACACTTTTGTGTAGAACCTAGAGCTTGGAGAGTGACTTCGTGGACCACTGTCTGTCCATCTTTTCCAATATTATTTGCTGATTGAACAAAAGGTATTTTCATACCCCATGAATCTTCAAACACTGCAATGAGTTCTCTGGGAGAATATCTGTTTCCCTGATATAAGCCAAATATTGCTGTACTGGTCAACTGATGCAGAGCTGATCAGCGACTTGGGATATTCATGTCAACAGAAACACATCAGTTCTTCTGCAAACTGACCTTCCTATGCAGAAGATTGAATTTGCAACTTGGATTTAGCACCACATTTTTAGTTGGGGGGGGGGCGGCGCCCCCCCCATTTTCCTTACCAAAAAATAAATAAATGAAATAAAAGATTATTTTCCCTTCTCTGTGTTTACAGTAGTTTTACAGAAGATAGAGAGCAGTATCCACTATAAATAGCTTCCTTGACTGCCTTCAGCTCTGAAGAATCAAATGTATAAAATCAAGGCTGGCTTACTTAAAGTCCTCCCCAGGGAGCAGTTCTGCAGTGTTACTTGGCTTGCACTTCTTAGAACACAAATTAATTCTGTCTGTATTAACTGCACTTTTTTTGAGCTGTGTTAACAAGGACACCCAGAAGCTGTGGGATATGTGGCAGTGTGTGATCACATACATACAGAAACACTTTGGCCATTTTCTCCTTCATGGGACATGCATGATATCTGCCCTGAAAAAGGATGCATAGAGGCTCTATGTAACAATGTCCGATAGTTGTTCATTTTATGTTGAAAGTGAGACTCTAAACAGCATGAAATCATAAGCAAGACTTGTAAAATAGGACAGTCAACTCACTTCTATGGGAAAGTAGAGGGTGATCTGGATTCAGAAGCATTTTGGGACTCCTCAGGGGCAGTGGTTGTTCAGCAGTTTGGAGAGTGGCTGGCTCACCCAGCAGTCGGTCTGAACTTCAGCTGCTCTTCAGGCATTTTGGGGGTGAATCTTCCTGCTGAGCAGATTTAAAGCAATGGCAACAGGAAGGTCACTTTGCTCATCACATGCCTTCCCTTCTGCCTCCACACAGACTCTGCTCTCTGTGCAACTACTGGCGAGACAAGGAGAGCCAGGTTGGGCAGATGCAATTCATTCCTCCTCCACCCTTTCCCAGGCAATGAGGCAGGTGTCAGAATATTCCTGAAGTTCATGTGGTTTCAGGGTTACTCCTTTTTAGGTAATAACTTAAGGTAGGATGACTGGGAGAGAATCCAGCGCTGCTTTCCTTCATCTCCTCCAAAGAGAAACTTAGTCTTCCAGCCCAATAATTTCATTGCTAGATGAAGGTGGCTTTCTTGTTATCTGTTGAACTTACAATCTTTTGCCTTTTTTCAGGATCAATACCAAGGAATATTCCATTCACTACTCACTCAGTGTTTTTTTTTAACCTTTCCCTTAGATACAACAGAAACTTCAGCCTCTGCAGATCTCTCTTTTCACCCCTTGGAGGACATGTCCTTTTGCTGAAGAAACAGAGCAGATGTGAAAATTTTTCTTGTGATTAAATGGGATTTCTATGTTCCCCAATGCTGATACTCCAGCTGTGAAACCTACGAGATCTACAAACACACACTTGTATCTTTCTATATATCCACAGTCAAGCTGCTGTCCTACGAGAAAAGAGGAGTTGGACAGGAATAGGGGTCTGGAAAACCTGCTGTTTTCTAGTATTAACTGAAAGACAGTGGAGAACAGAGATAATATGATCAAATTTTAGAACTAAAGCAAGTAAAGGGCTGAACCCAACAAAGACTTCGGCAGGTGCTTTGCTGTAATTTCTCTGTTTATTGCTTACAGCCCTTTTTAAAGCCAGGAGTGCCTCTGACCTTGTGCCTATAATAAAGGCTGTGAGTGATGGGCTGCTAGAAGAAACTCATGTAATTTCTCTTGGGCTCTATAATAAAATGGCACATAACTGAAAATATTACAGTATCATCATACCAAAAAATAAACCTGGGATTCATGATCACTCAAGACAACCTGATTTTATCATTTCAAGTATAGTTGAAAATGAAAAGGTTCCATCTTGTTTCCATCTTCTTACTGCATTTTATTTTGAATTATAAGGGAAACATCATTATTTAAACAAAGTCTTTCAATTGTGTGGGGGGAAGCAAAGCTCAAAATCATAGGAGGAAGAAAAAATTTAACTACTTCTTCTGGCTTAGTACCAGCAAGTACAGATATCACACAATCACAATGGAGATTAGTAGGGGCTGGGTGTGCGTATTTGTAATGCGTCAAAGAGAGGATATAGTGATTAGAAGCATGACGATGCTTTCAACACTCACAGAGGGATTGAATGTATGATTTATAATACTAATTCTGCAAAACCTTTCTATGCTTGTGCTTACTGCTCAAGGGTTTCAGCATGGATTGATCACTGAAAAAAAAAGGTGTTTTCTTCAGCTCAGCTGGATCAAACTCTTGCAACTAATCAAAAGCCTTTTCAGTATTGACACTGTCTGATCTAAGAGATTGTTTGCTACCTACATGTTTACTCCATTGTTCTGCTGCAGATTATTGTTCCTACAGTGTAATTGTCATAAAAGTTTTTTCTGTGTCCACAGTGGCAATACTTCACTGATCGGTATTTTAGATGATAATCATTTGATTTTCTCTGAGTATTTATGGCCATTTTTATACATATATGTGTTGGAAACATTAAAACAAAGATGTTGATGCCCTTAAAGAGCAAGCAGTAACCCATAATCTGAGTTTCTGGTCTCTGAAATGGTATACTGGACACTGATAAATAGCCTTGACTGAGTGAGTCCCATTTTGAGGCAGGGCATGCTTTGGCTGTACCAAAGGGAGATCAAGAGCACCCAGCAGAGCTGCTGAGAATTTATGCTTTTTCAGGTGAAAAAGTTTTCACAGCCAGCTGCAGCTGGATGTTAAGGTGAGGCCCAGCCTCTAGTGGCTATCTGGGTGTAAGCCACAGAACTAACAATGTAATTCTGCCCTTACTTGCCTTTCCTTTAAGTGATTGCTATTTAGCTTCACAGGAACTCTTTCTGGCATTGCTGGGCAGCACATACCAGGTTGTGCATATTTCATGTGCTTTCTTCCCCTTATTCACAACTGCCAAGATCAAGATGGCTTCCAGAGAGCACAATGCTTACTCCTGATTTCATGTCTGTGTCCTTCCAATGCCTGAGGGACAATGCCGTCAATGTTTCACTCCAGCTTGAAATTGTATTATGGCAAATGTGTGCACCGGGGTGTGGACTCAGATGATAAATGAGAAAAGAAGCTGCTTTCTGACCTTTTTCCAACCAACAAAAACAATTTTTAATAACTGCTTTTCTTCCTAGAAAGAAAAAAAAAAAACACAATTCCCTGTAACATTTATGGACAAATAACCTAGATGGTAAAATTTATGTGATATTAGAAAGCTTAGTGATCTGGTAAGATGTAATTAAAATAAATAATAATAATGTGTACCAAGGGAATAAAATTGCACAAGGTTTTCCAAAGCTAGATCCATTTGCTCAGTATAAGGATTCATCTGCTCATTAAATTTTGGACTTTGCATGCTACATAGATGAGGTTTAACCTGTTTAAATAAATACTTCACATTAATAAAAAAAAAGAGAACTTGCTGGTCTCAAGCGGCACTGTGATTATGAAAGGAGGGGAACATACTAATAATACCTGGGGAAATGGGAGAAAGATTTCCATTAATTTCTGTGTATTGGGGCTCATTGTCATCTTCAGAGCTCAAGCTGAGGGTCTAGAGGATATACTTACTCCTGGGTTGAATGCTAAGCAATGTGTGGGGCTTAGTAGGTAAAATACATCACATTTTGGATTTAACTTGTCATCAGCCACCCTTGGGTGCTAATTCCTTTTGAAACTGAGAACCTCAATGCTGTAGCACAGGAAACATTTTTGAACTACTGCTTGAACCTTTCGTGCAACTTAACTGCATCTTCCTGTAGCCAGTCCCTGCTTTACTACAAGCAGAGCTGATGAATAGCAGACACAGTAAGATAATACAGAATACTTGTTTTCCAGCTGCACACGACCACTTTACCACAGCTATTAACCTGAAGAAGAAATCCATGCCTAAGGATTTTTTCTCCTTTCTAACATTTCTTTTGATGCAAATACTTCTTGCCATTCAGCAGCTCCTTCCTGGAACTTCCTGATGCAAATACCTCTTCACATGCAGGGCTTTTCCTCCTATGTCCCACTGTGACTCCTGCAGAGAGGAGCTGCTCTCAGTAAACCAAACTGCTGGGGCTTCACTGGCTGTGTAACTAGTTTGGAATTGATCTTCCCTCTCGATTCAGAACTACATTAAACTGCTGATCAGGTTTATCTTCAATGAGGGAATTTAACACTTTCATTCCTGTTCAGAACATCTCCAATATTTTGTCCAATATTTTGGACAAGTGGGAATCCTTCCACACAGAACAACTGCTTTCTTTTCCACCCACTCCTCTTCCTGCTATTCTGATATTCCTGCTAGGGAGCAGGAGAAGTTAAGTAATATTAAATAGATAGTGTTCCTAGGGTGTGTTACATGGCTTTCATCAGTTATCTACTATAAAAAAGAAGAAAATCTACTTTAAATTTGGTTTTAATGTGACTGGCTAATGAGTTTTTAATCTTTAACAAGTCCTTAGTTGCCTCAGGAAGCCAAAATTTGGTCATGAAACCTGGTGCAAGGCGTGTTGTCTGCAGGAAGTGCATTGGCCACCCCCTTGGGCTCCAGGAATGCAATTAAGAAGGAAAAAAGCTGAAGCTGAAAGCCACAAAGAAAGAAGAGGACAATGGAAGACACTTTTCCATTAGATCAGTGGAGGCTTTTAATCAGTTGTGTGGCTTATTTCAATCCAATCTGTGCCAATAGTTGCAACATCCCCTTGTTACATGGAGGTATTTGGTGATCCAAACAACAACAAAAAGATTTTATTTTTTACCCACCAAAAAGGCATACACTAGTTGCAAACTTAATTTCGTGAAGTGTTACAGCCCAGGGACTCCTGAAAAGCAGTTCATTTTTAAAGGTCCCCTCCAACCCAAGACATCATGGCTCTGTGAAGCCCATTTTCCCTCTTTATGAGCTGTGAACTGCCTAAGGGCCCCTGTGAGGACCTTGTAGACCTGTACTTTTCACACTTTCCTTTAATTTATGTTTTGCTTTGGCTTTTTTTTTTTTTTTTTTGGCTCTTTTTACCTGGTGATTTTTGACACGTGCCATCATTCCCACAATTCCCCTAAGAGAGCTGTTTCAGACTTCCAGACACATTAACGCTGCATAAGATCTGCAAGAAGCCTATCCTACTAATAACTGACAAAGCTATTGGTGATGGTTAACCAGGCGCACGCAGCTGGGTTTATCCATTGCGCCCCAGCCGAGCCTCTGACAGCATGAGTGTGTGTGACTGCGTGCCACACGCAGGTGTCCTCCCCTCCGGTAGGGGGCGCTCGCCTCCCTGCTGGCCCTCTTGCCTCCCGGTTGCTTGGTTACGGAGCGCGTCCTTCCGTACGACGGGAGCGGCGTGGCCCCGTCCGCGGCGCTGGGCGGGGAGAAGCGAGCGGCGGGGTCTTATAGGGTCTCGGGGGCCGTGCTGTGCCTGCTGGATGTGTTTGCTGTGTCGCGGCTGCTGGCGTATCCTCGTGGGAGGTACTTTTCCTGCTGTGGGGGGGAGGAGGAAGGGGGCTGGCAGGGGCCTGAGGTCACTTGTTTTTGTAGGTGGAAAGCCTTTGTAGTTACTTTAGTAAGTGCAGAGCTTCAGCCTGCCTCATTTCTTCCTCTGCTGGGAGTTTCTGTGCGACTTCTGGTTTATGCTCCCAAAGATAGCAACAGTTCAGTTCTTTCCCTTGGTAGAATGGTACTGTCACTGGTGCTTAGTGATATGCACTACGTGGTGGTCATAATGAAATCCATAGAGACTTCAGCAAAATGCAGTCTTCTTAAAAGGATTGGGTTCTGTATTGGTATATGAAGTATAAAAGCTAATTTCTGTTTGAGTTTACAGGTTGTGTACTGCAGGAGAGAATTGCTGGAAAATGTGAGCGCTTTGAACTGAGTTATCTGGAAGAGCTGGCTGTGGTTACAGGACCAGGCTGTATGTGGGGGATCTCAGCGGGACAGCCTGAAGATCAAATTAGCAATAGTTACTGCTTCTAGGAATGTGAGCATGTGCAAGATTTAACACCAGGTCAATTGCACTGTTTAAGAATATTATCCTCTCCAGAGGTCAAAGAGTTCACATAAGCCTGCCATGTATATAAATAAAAATATTCCTTATTAATTGCTCAGAAAGTAAGGAGATCCTCGGAAGAAAAATGAAAAAACAAGCTTCTGATCACAGGGTAATGAATCACAGAAATAGAACTCTGGGAGAAGACAGTGATGACAAAAATCAAAGTTGCTCTGAAAAAGGTCACAGTGAAAATGCCACTTATAGTCATGGAAGTTGCACTGTAAAACTTCCAGTAATAGCATCGTTTGCAGGTACTGCTAAAAAAATTCCACCTCAGAAGCCAAGACATGGCAGATCTGATTTTTGCACCAGTAACTCCCTGGTCTTGTTGGAGAAGACAAAAACTGTTAGTAAAGTAAAGGATAGAGCACGTATGCTACAGGCGAATCTCTACAACTTAAGGAATGATAAAGCTGAAAAAATAAGTACTGTGATTAAAGATAGTGATGAGTTTAGCTCTGCAGACTTAGAGAGAAATGAAAACATTCCCAGGAAGGGAAAATTAACCAGGGAAAGCTGTAAGAAGAGAAGCAAAGAGATTTCAAAACTAAAGCAGCAAGATTTATGTGTTGAATTGGGACAAGTGCTGAGAAAAGGAAGCAAGCAGCCAAGTGTGAGGTCTGCTCAGGAACAGTTGGAAGAGGTAAGAGATGTGACTAGACTAGACACTTCAAAAATATATGAGAACTTCCAGCAGAGCAAACCTGAAGAACCTACTTCCACAGCAGCATTGCCTGTGAAAGTAGTTGCAAGGATTGTTGATGAAATAATCGCTTCCCCGCAGTCTACTTCTCCATCTTCCTCAGAACTGATGATCAAAGAACTCCTGGAGAGTGTTCTTGGCCAGAAATGCAACATAAAAATGGAAGTAGGTGAACCAGAACGAGAGCAATATTTTTGTCTTAGGTAAATATTACTTTTATAGGAGTTGTATATTTTTTTCCAGCTCCTACAACACAAAAGCCAGACAAAACAAACAGACACAAACACTAATGTACCGTAGAATATTCTTCACTGTTTCTTCTGCCAGATCTTTAATTCCCTTAACATATGAAAATGAGTCAATATCAAAATCTATTAAAACATAAACCCTCTGGGGTGGGAATTGTTAGTCTATTTATAGATTAGTACAGCTTTTTCTTTTTGCTCTTTCCCCTTTTTAAGATGGCAATTCCAGTCTAAGAGATGATGAAGTGCACTAAGTATACCTGAAGCATTGTTCCTTTCAGTTTGGCATACGAAGTCTCAAGAAAACAATTTCATTATTGTAGTTAAGTAGATTGTATCAGCTGTTGTAAGAGTCCCTTCACTTACAGTAAGAGGCACCAGTAACATCAATATCATAGAGGACTTTCCTGTATTCTCACCAGAGGGTAGCCTCTTTTGTTGTTGCTGGTTTATTTGTTAACTAGTAACTTAGATTTACTAGTAAATTACTCTCAGTACTTTGTCTTCTCTGAGCAAGAGTAATGGTTTTGTTAGAATGAACCATTTCACAAGGGCTGAAACTCGTGTTATGAAAATAGCTATCATACTTTGTATGCATACTAGCTTTTTTTGTGAGGGGTGGAGTACACCCATATAGGATGCAATACTTACAAGAAGGAACTGCCATTGCAAGGAATCATCTGAAAGACTGATGTGTTTGTGTTTTAGGAAATCATGATGGAAATTGTTTCCTACAGCTATTAAAATGCTACCTTTTATGATTACAGAGTATCTTGCACAGGATGTAAGTGCAGTACCTTAATATTTCTTTAATGTGAGATTGATTGTCATTGGTTAGATTGAAAAAAAAAATTAAGACAAAAAAGAATGCAGAACTGATTTAATTATGTCTGAGTAGCAATAGTCTGAAACTGCATTTCTAATAGATTTACGTCCTATGATTTACTTTTGTTTTCAGAGCTGTTTGTGTGGCTCAGGTACTCAGAATGCCTTTTACTCTGTATATTTTCTGGTGTATATTTGGGTTGAAATGAGAGAAGCCTTTCCTCAGTGTGGCAGGATTGTATGATCCCTCTTCATTGCTTTACTCTGATTTTAGGAATGTAATAATTTGAGTCTCTTTTCTTGTTAAGTCTGGTTGAAGTTTGCCAAAAGGCGTCAGAGGAGATTGGGAAATGAAGAAGACTAAAGAAAATCCCAGACATGGAAAACCATTTCTTGTTCAACTTACAAAAAAAATAAAAGTCATTAGCGTTGCGGTAATTATGTTACATTGCTTGTCCTGTCTTACTC